CCCCACAGGGGATAGCCATGCCACAGTCCCTTTTCCTCTGTTCTCCTCTGGGGATTTTGGACACATATGTACACATGCCTGGTGTGTTTTTCAAGCTGCAGGGTCTGGAGCTCGAACCGTGCAGTCAACCATGTAAAATCCAGGCACCTTAACATCCCATATCACCTGCTGGCCTGACATGTCAGTGATTTTGACTTGGGGACCCGGCCGCAAAGATGCATAAAAGGCTTTAGATACTGACCGTAAACGTCCTCGTGGACCTGTGTGTAAATCTACACTCACACTCCGAACTACCTGTTGCCTTGGAAATGGCAACACGTTTGGAGGACCTGACCCTTTCCTTACGTGAGCTCAACCCGCCTTGCTTCAAGCTAAGGTTCGTTGTGTCTGGTCTTGGGACCAAGTAGGCAGTTGTCACCTGTCCCATCGTTCTGAACTCTGTGCCTCCAGGAGCTTCAGAGGGCTCGTGTCTCTGTCCTCGCCTCTCAGGGGCTCCCAGGAGGCCCCTCCTCCTTCCAGTGCTGTGTGCCTCTGGGTCGTGTTAGCCTTCCCTTTCGTGCACAGGGCGTACATACAGTGAGAGAGGAGACAGCCCTCATTTGCAGCCTGAACAGCGTGTTCCCAGCAGCCCTGGTCGTGACTGAGTGTGTGCGTCCTCATGGGTAAGGGGGGCTGGCTTGGGTATCATACTGCAGGCTCGGTTCATGACGGAGATGACTCCAGGTCAGGTTTTGACGTCTGTCCAGGGCTTAAGATTTTCCTCAGCCTTTGTTCCAGAACATTGAGGTGTCATGGAAATGTCTCTGCTGCCGGAAGGAAGGCGTGATTAGGAACAGCATTTCACTAGGGCGCTGGTGGTCTGCCTGTCATTCCGGGAATAGCAGCCAGGTAATTCTGGAAGAACTAAAAGACACTAGCAGTCATCTTTAAAAACAGCATATGTATATTTTTTTGGTACCAAAACAGTAATACATTTTCTTTATTTTTTAAAAAATTGGAAAATATGAAAAAGAATGACCACCTATAACCCCATCGTTAGCACTTGGGGGACTTGTTTTCTTTTCAGTCTTTGCATGCATTTGAAAATGAAAGTAGGAAGGTAACAGTACCAAACATTCCTGGAAACCATTCTGTGTACCAGGAAGTCTTTAAGCACTTTATGTGGGATTATCTCATTTATTCCTCACAATGACATTATGTATATTAGCCCATTTATTCCTCACAGTGACATTACATTTCCAGGAATTACACAATGTTAGCTCTGAACTGTCTGATTTTGCCTCCTTGTCATATAGATTAGGAGATGGAAGCCCACAGAGGTGAGTTTTACCCAGCAACTTGGAGACTGTAAAAGTCAGTGTCCAGGGGACCAGCAGGTGGCGTGGTGGTTAAGGGGCTGGACGGTCCAACATGACCGACTGCAGTTCAAATGCCAAACCTGGTGGCTTGCTTTCTCATTTTCCCTCTCTTTCTCTCTGTGTATCTCTCTGGTCAGATTAAAATAATGACTAACTAAAATTAAATAAATAATTGTTTAAAAAATAAAAAAAGTCAGTGTCCAAACTGAAATGCCTGTCTCCTGGTCCCCATGGTCTGCATGCATGTAGACTCCAGGTGAACCGTGAACCTTTGTCCTCGCCTGTCCTAACCCCAAAACCAGATTGCACTGTACATCACACCGTGGAGGGTCATTGCCAAGTCCAGATGAAAGGAAGGATGGAAGACACTCATCGCTTGTACTCACACATACACACGATTGCAGTTTGTGTTCAGGGACTTTATGGGCATCTCAGATTGATGTGCGTAGCTGGCTGTCAATTATCCGAGCAGGGCTAGGGCCGTAAAAGGCCGGAAGGTGCAGCCCAGCTATCTTTGCAACTTTATATCCTCATCCAACATTTTTAACTGAGATTTGCTGACCAGCAGTAAGCTTGAAAGATTGATTTGGGCTTTAAATGCTGTTGCTTTTTAACCTGGACTCTGGAGGACATGCCAAGCATTGTTATCACTTTAAAGTGGGCCAGAAGTCAGCCAGGCAGCTGGCGCTCTGTGTAAACAAGCCTGGGTGTCTGAGCGCGGCTGTCCTGCACAAGTGTCTAAGAAAGCAGGACTGGCCGGACTGACACTGCTGAGTTGGGTGACCAGCTTTGGTGTAGTGGCGAATTAAAAGGAGGAGAGAAACAGGTGGTAATTTATTGCTGAATTCAGTAAGGTAAGGTACAAACCTTTCCATCTTTCGACCTTAGAGTGGACTGCTCAATAGAAAATGTCAAACCATTTTTTCTATAACTTAATGTAATCTCTGTAATTCACAGATTCTGTGAGTGCCAGGAGGGCAAGAACAAGTTCTGAGGGAATTTACGGACCAAGTTGAATGAAAAATTGACACGCAAAACTAATGTGTGCTGTTACAGTCCGGTTCATGATAATCCTGGGAATGGGGGTGATTGAAGGGGAGCTGGGGATGTAGGGGACTTCTGTTTCTTTGGGTGTTGGTTACTCAGTGTGCTTAGTTTGTAAAACTTCCATTGAGTTTTATAATTTGATACATTGAGGCTCCTATATATTCAGTGTGCTCTTTTCTGAGTGTAAGTTACACTTCAGTGAAGGTTTAAAAGTTCTTAATTGTGTTTCTGTATCTTTACTTTTTTCTTTTTTAATTTTTTAAAAAAGTTTTTTGCCACAGGCTGCATGCACTTGTCAGAGGGAAATAAAGAGAGGGAAGGTGAGAAATCACCCCCCGGGGGGATGACCATTCTATACTCCCTTATCCACCATTCTCCTAGGAATTTGGATACCACCCCCCCCCCAACCCAAACAAAAACCACATACCACCCCCCCCACACACACACACACACACACACACCTAGCATGATTTTCAAGCCGCCAGGTCTGGAACTTGAACTGTGGTTAGCCATGTGGAAGCCCAGTGCCGTAACCACTATGCCTCCTGCTGTCCCCATATTTGTATAGCTTGTTGTCATCGATATTCGGAAAAGCCTCCATTTAGTTGAATCAGTGTGAAGTGGTACACAATGTATTATCTAGACATTGGGGAAAACATTTCCACCTGAAATTGCTGGGCTCTGCGGGCAGAATTTCCGAGTCATTTTTTGGTTCTAATAAAATGTTTCTTAGATGACTCATTGTCAGCTCCCTGGAATAATGGATGAGGTCACCTTACTTTAGCAAACATGCATATACTGACAACCCCTGAGAATGAGGGAAGCTGGGCACACCTGCCATGGCGTCATCCCTTCCCGGAGGGAGTGTGCATGGGCGGGGTACGTGGATTAGGGCCACGAGGAGGGGAGAAATGGTGCCACAGAGTGTACACATAGCGACAGGGGGAGTTTCGCATTCTCTCCTTCCCGCCTTCCCCGCGTGATGCTCTTCTGCCAGATCAAGCAGCCAGTGTCTCTCAGATATGGCAAAATTACATGTGGAAAGAGGGGCCAAGAAATAGTGGTAACGCGCTTTCATAAATTGTGACAGAGACCTGAACTGGCAGCCTGGGATTGTGTGCTGCTGCGCCGCCAATCCTCCTCTGGGATAAATCAGCCCCGCGCGGGATTTATCACGAGGCAGAGTGTTCACACTCATCATGGGAAATGGGCCATGCTTGCGCCCTGGTCCGCAGACCACATGAAGTCTGCTAATTCCTTACTCCGTTTTTGCTATCATTCTCCTAGTCCCTTATAAAGAAAATGTGGGATCAGCAGATGGCATAATGGTTATATCGCTGGACTCACATAGCCAACTGCAGTTTGAGTCCCAGAGGTTTGAGTCCCAGACCGGTGGCTTAAAACTCATGCCGGGTGTTTGTGCATGTATGGAGGAGAATGCAGGAGAAGGGATTGTAGCGTGGCCATCCCCCTCGGGGATGATTTCTTGCTCGGCGGCTCGCTCGCTCTCTCTCTCTCTCTCTCTCTCTCTCTGGCAAGTGCACACACCCTGTAGCGAAAATCTCTCTAAAAAAAATAAAAGAAAAATGTAACTTGTGCAGAACATTTTATTGTCTCTCTTACGGTTTCTATTGAGATTCAGTATCAGGGCATTTTCTAATCAGAGGGTTGTAACGTGACAAATTCGATGCTTCAGTTAAGATCTTATGACTCTCGTTTGGAGATTATGTTCAAAGTCTTTCGTCCTCTGAGAAGACCTATAGTACTGTGTCCTGGCGAAGAACAGGGATTAGCCTTAGGGGGACTTGGCTTCAGTATGGCTCTGTAACCGTGTCTACCTGGGGGTGCACCTCACACGTTCTTTGCCTGTGTGGGAATGAGGCTCAAACAAGGCGGCCCGTGAGAAACATCCTCAGAACCTGGCATGCGGTCTGCTCTTGCCATTCCCTCTCAGAGCACAAATTTGCTAACCCCTTGCAACTCTGCAGTTCTTTTTTCTAGATGGCCCTTGAAAGAGAATGCTCTATCATGGGGTCTGAGCGTTATCATTGTTTTTCTTTTTCTTAAATCTGTGTGGTTGTGGTTTGGAGTTGTTTCCGCATCTCAGTACTGTTGCATTACCCAGTTATTGAAATTAATCTTACACCACCTTATTCTGTCACATCTGTTTAATGACTCCATTAAGAAAATAATTTCCTGAGTTGATGGGTGCATCTGCTGATATCTTTCGTTCTCTTTTTCATTCTCCTTCTGTTAAACGAGTGAGTTCTACCTTGCACACATTTCCCGTCATGGTGAAATTCACAGTGAAGGGGATATGGCAGGCACCCCAGTTACCTGAGCCCTTTGGGAAACCAGGCTGACTGGTGACCTCGTTCCATTCCGCTCTTTTTACATGAGCTACGACAGCTCCTGTCTCATCAGGAAACAGGGAGCCCTAAGATATGCGGCTCTCCCTAGCATGCGTGCAGGGCTGTCCTGTATCCACCTTGAGAGGGTAGTGACAGTTTTCATCCTTGCAGTTTGACTCTCTGGGACTTATGTTCGTGGTGTGTGACCTCCAATCTCAACCTGCTTCTCTCCCGCCCCTTTCAGGTAGAACGTCATGACATGAATACCTTAAGCCTGCCCCTGAACATACGCCGCGGCGGGTCCGACACCAACCTCAACTTTGATGTCCCAGATGGCATCCTGGACTTCCACAAAGTCAAACTCAGTGCGGACAGCCTGAAACAGAAAATTCTGAAGGTGACAGAGCAGATAAAAATTGAGCAAACATCCCGCGATGGGAACGTGGCAGAGTATCTGAAACTGGTCAACAGTGCAGACAAGCAGCAGGCCGGGCGTATCAAGCAAGTTTTTGAGAAGAAGAACCAGAAATCGGCCCACTCCATCGCCCAGCTGCAGAAGAAGTTAGAGCAGTACCACAGGAAGCTCCGGGAGCTCGAGCAGAACGGCGCCTCCCGGAGCGCCAAGGACATCTCCAAGGACAACCTGAAGGACATTCAGCACTGTCTGAAGGATGCCCACGTGAAGTCTCGAACTGCCCCCCACGGCCTGGAGAGCAGCAAGTCGGGCATGCCGGGGGTGTCCCTCACGCCCCCCGTGTTTGTTTTCAATAAGTCCAGAGAGTTTGCCAACTTGATCCGGAATAAGTTCGGCAGTGCCGACAACATCGCTCACCTGAAGAACTCCCTCGAAGAGTTCAGGCCCGAGGCGAGCGCCAGAGCCTACGGGGGCAGCGCCACCATCGTGAACAAACCCAAGTACGGCAGCGATGACGAGTGCTCGAGCGGCACGTCGGGCTCAGCCGACAGTAACGGGAACCAGTCCTTCGGGGCTGGTGGAGCCGGCACGCTGGACAGCCAGGGGAAGCTCGCCGTGATCCTGGAGGAACTCAGGGAGATCAAGGAGACCCAGGCGCAGCTGGCCGAGGACATCGAGGCGCTGAAGGTGCAGTTTAAGAGAGAATATGGCTTTATCTCTCAGACCCTGCAGGAGGAGAGATACAGGTATTTCAAAGTATTTTTGAGAATTCTTTCAGGAGCCTGCAAATGTCTGCTTAGGATTATGCTACTGGTTGTGTTTTCAATACATAGGAAAATGAATTAAAAGCCCTATAGTGCTTTCTGTCCTTCATGGTTCTGAGTTTTATAATTTGTGGTTTGTAGCTGACAAATTTAGAGAAAGACAGTCTATGTGTGGGTCTCTTCAAATATCACTGTGCAGACTATGACTCACAGGCATAGTAAGATCCTGATTCAGTAAACTTCTGTGATAGTCTCGCTGTGCTCCTTCCTAGATCCCTTATTTGCTTGCCTTCTATAATAGCTGTCCATAAAAATGGAATTCATTGTCCAACGAGGTCCGTTGTATTTGGTACATCACATATTGTGTTTTCTTCATTAAATTTTTTACTGTGGATAAAGAGCTAGATAGAATCAAAAAATGATCTTAAGATTAAAGTATAAAATCAAACTTTTTGGGTTATCTTAAGTATTTTAAAAGCAGTTGTTTTACAGGGTGGCTTCTGTGTGCTTGTGCCTTATAAATAAAAAAGTGTATAAGGTTGAATAGGAGATGATTTTTCTCTCCAACGTCCTCAATGAAAAGATCTCCCAGGACAGCCAGTGGTGTGATGGTTAAGGTGACTGGATCCCACATGACCAGCTGCGTGTTTTGAGATGGGACTTGGCTGCTTGAGAAACATGCTGGGCATGTGTGCATGTGTACTCAAAATCCTGAAAGGAAATAAAGGAGAATGAATTGCTGCATGGCCATCCCCCACAGGGTCTGCTTTCTCACTTTCCTCTCTCTGTCTCTGACTCTCTCTGGTAGGCACACGTGCACTCTAGAAATTTTTTAAAAAGAATTAAAAATAATTTTAAAAAGAAACACTGCATTCTCTTTATTTTTTATTGACCTTTACTTTTTTTTTTTTCTTTTTTTCCTGTTAGGTGTGTGTGCTTGCTGGAAAGAGAGTGAGAGGGAAAGCAAGAAATCACCCCCTAGGGGAGATGGCCATGCTGCAATCTCTTGTCCTAAACTTCTGTGATAGTCTCGCTGTGCTCCTTCCTAGATCCCTTATTTGCTTGCCTTCTATAATAGCTGTCCATAAAAATGGAATTCATTGTCCAACGAGGTCCGTTGTATTTGGTACATCACATATTGTGTTTTCTTCATTAAATTTTTTACTGTGGATAAAGAGCTAGATAGAATCAAAAAATGATCTTAAGATTAAAGTATAAAATCAAACTTTTTGGGTTATCTTAAGTATTTTAAAAGCAGTTGTTTTACAGGGTGGCTTCTGTGTGCTTGTGCCTTATAAATAAAAAAGTGTATAAGGTTGAATAGGAGATGATTTTTCTCTCCAACGTCCTCAATGAAAAGATCTCCCAGGACAGCCAGTGGTGTGATGGTTAAGGTGACTGGATCCCACATGACCAGCTGCGTGTTTTGAGATGGGACTTGGCTGCTTGAGAAACATGCTGGGCATGTGTGCATGTGTACTCAAAATCCTGAAAGGAAATAAAGGAGAATGAATTGCTGCATGGCCATCCCCCACAGGGTCTGCTTTCTCACTTTCCTCTCTCTGTCTCTGACTCTCTCTGGTAGGCACACGTGCACTCTAGAAATTTTTTAAAAAGAATTAAAAATAATTTTAAAAAGAAACACTGCATTCTCTTTATTTTTTATTGACCTTTACTTTTTTTTTTTTCTTTTTTTCCTGTTAGGTGTGTGTGCTTGCTGGAAAGAGAGTGAGAGGGAAAGCAAGAAATCACCCCCTAGGGGAGATGGCCATCCTGCAATCTCTTCTCCTCCATTCTCCTCCTGGGATCTTGGGCACACACACACACACACACACACACACACACATGCACCTAGAGTGATTTTTAAACCACCAGGTCTGAGATTGGAATCTCAGTCAGCTGTGTGGGAGTACAGCACCTTAACCACTATGTCACCTGCTAACCCCACTGTATTTCTTTTACAAAATAAAAATCCCCCCCAAAATTTTTTAGTCAAAATGAATATGTTAACTTATGAGAATGTAGATAAATAGTAAAATGCCCATTATATACTGTACCATTTAAATTTTAAATTTAGCTTGTAGATTGTTTTATAATTGATATTTAATTTTTGTCGGCATTAATTTAGAAATAAGGCTTTTTCAACGTTTGTATTTTATGAAACTTTTTTTTAAAACATTCCACCTGCCTCTTTGACTTTGATATCTTTGTCACAGATTAATTTCCTGAGTCGTGGCTTTTCCAAAGAGTGTTAACCTTAATCCAATCCAAATAGTTTAGGATTCTTGTGCTTTTTGGGTGCACATTTTCTTCTAAGTTACAAATACTCGTTTACGTAAGTTTAGGACAATGTTTTCTGTTTTTCCCATCTGCATGAGGCATGTGATAGAGAGAAAGCACCCTCAGTAGGGTCTCGCCATGCCATGACCTCTCTTCCCCAACCCTCCAGCTTCTCAGTATTCTGAGCACCCATGTAGGCCCCTGGCATGTATTCCAGGCTGACCCAGGATCCGAACCACAGTTGCCATATGGCTTCTAGCACTGCAGGGTGCTACTGTTACCACTGTGCCACAATGGCTGGGCCAAGTTCAGGACAGTTTGTTTACATTTATCTCGTGGTTACATTTGTGATCCCCGCTATGTAGCTACCGAGTATATCACTTACTTTAGAGACTATAAATCCTATTTACAGCACCATTTGGGACCTATAAAGTCATGCCTGAGAATAATCACTAACTCTCCATTAAGCTTTTTGCCCCTTTTTCTTTAAATAATTCTATCCGGTAGCCTTGATAAGCTTATAAAACTGGCATTGATCAAAGTCATTGCAGGCTAATGTATCTTCCCCAAACAGTGCATCCTGCTTTACAATAGACAGTAGAAGGTTTAAACATGAAACACATCCTTTTCTCTGAGTGAGGCTTGGGGAATGGAGCCTTTGTATATCTGTTTCTTTAGATTTGGATTTTTGGAAATGCCAACAGATAAACCATCTACAATTTGTAACAAGCTAAGGTTTTTATTGGCACTTACGTTCCAAGAGCTTAAAATATCTTGAGGAAGAATGTCTGCACAGAGAAGTAGTAGAGTTGGCTCCAGTGTGGAAGTTGATACTATTGGGTTGTCAGAAAAATCATGAGGTATTTTTCTGTTTTTCTGTGTAAAAATGTGTCATGACCTTTCCAATGACCCAGTAAAGGCTCAGTTCTTTCTTTATGGGTTGTCTGGCCATGAAGCCCTGGGCACTGAGGAGAAGCCACTACAGATACCAGCAGGCCCTGGCCTTGTGCCAGATCCTGCCCAGCTCTGTCTCCTGACAGGCTCTGATGGATGTTGACTGATGAGGTCTGTCCTGTGGCCACCACAGCCAGCTAAGTCCAGTGAGTGTGAAAAAGCCAGATATGGTTTGCATGAACCCTCAATAGCAAGCGTAAGAGTTAAGACTACAGAGACCAGGCTTTTTCATAGCTAGAAACCAGTGTTCTCTAAAAGTATATCCCCACTTAGCTAGACTTAGCCTTTTAGAAAAACAGCCTACCTGGAGATGAAAACAAGCCAAGGGGTGCTGTCGGCAGTAAGAAAAAAAAAAAAAAAGGATGATGTTCTAGAAAGTGTTGTTGGAAGGTTTAGAAATGGCACACTCAGCATCGGCTTCTCTCTTTGTAAAGGTACGAGCGACTGGAAGACCAGCTGCATGACCTGACAGATCTGCATCAGCATGAGACGGCCAATCTGAAACAGGAGCTGGCCAGCATCGAGGAGAAGGTGGCCTACCAGGCCTACGAGCGGTCCCGGGACATCCAGGTGCCTTCCCTACTGAGATTAGATGCCCACACAGGCCCTCCCCAGGCTTCAATTCACTTAACAAACCAAGGGCTACCCCTAAGCTTTAAAGTATTTCTGGCACATGGCACCGAATGTGTGCTCTGCACCAGCATTCCTCGCCACGTTAATCCCATTAGCCGATGTAGACGTTACTGAGGAAGAGGCTGTATGCTGTACTTTCTGCCTAAATCAGTTAACAAGCATTCATGATCTACCCCAAGCCTGTTACCACCAACTTTTTTTTTTCTTTTCAGTTTTTACTAGAGGGTGTATGTGCTCACCAAAGAGAGAGAGAGAAAAAGTGAGAAATCAGCCCCCCCACACCCAGGTGTGGTGGGTGGGATGGCCACACTGCAGTCCCTTTTCTTCCAGCCTCTTCTAGGAGTTTTGGGCAGGCACATGTGCCAGGTAAGATTATCAAGCCTCTGGGCCTGGGACTCAGCCATGTGGGATCCAGTACCTTAACCTCCATGCCATCAGCTGGCCCCATTTTTTCCTTTTTAAAAAACACATTTTATCAATGAAGAGGGATCTTCAAAATTCAAAAGTTCATTTTGACATTTTCTGATTTCATTTCTAGGTCAGAATTGTGGAGACCATCTGTGTAAATGATTGGAGGGGTCTTTCTTGTCGTGTCATGGCTAGAAGCCTTTCTCTGACACCCTGGATAAGTTAGTTAGCGCTCTGTACCTCAGTTTTCTCTTCTGCACAATAGAAATATTAACAATTCTACCTAAAAACGTTATCTAGAAGCTTAGGATAAGTTTGGGTCATTGGAAAAGTCATGATGTTTTTTTCTACACAAAAATGTGTAACGACTTCCAATGACCCAATACATAGAAAACTGAAGTCTTTCCCTGACACATAATAAATAGCCAAAAAATGAATACTGGCCGTTCATCGTATTATATTGGTGAGTAGCCAGAGAACTCAGGGCTTTTAGCAACTGGGCCTGCCCACCCTCATCTTCTCGTTCCTTTGTTCTAATAGGCAGGTCTGCAACACAGGGATGAGCTAACGTATTAGGCTGTCAGAAAGTCATGACATGTTTTTGCGTAGAAAAATATAGAAAAAAATGCATCACGACTTTCCTAATAATCTACTAGATAGAGGTGGCCATTGTTTTTAAGGATGCAAGGGATTTTGTTGTTGTTTTAAGCAATTGAGATCTTTCCTTTTTTAAAAAAAATGATCCTGAGTTTCCAACTAAAAGGAAATGTCTTATTTGTCATTTGTCATTAAAGGAAATGGCTTCATTTATCTTCTTTCCCAAAAAGTCAGATACTAGAGCCAAGAACATATTAAAGATAATGGTGCGGAGTGTCTGTCGATCCTAGGACTAAATGTTCTTGGAATTCACCACTCAATTTTTTTGGATTTTTTTCTTTTAGTAAAAAAATGTGGGGGCCAGCCCATGGCCTGGTAGCTGAGGGAGCTAGATCCCACATGGTCAACCATGCAGTTCGAATTGGCTTAAAAAACATGCAAGGCATGTGTGTGCATGTCCCAAATCCTGACAGGATGGAGAAATAGAGCAGGGATTGTGGTGTGTGACCATGTCCCATGTAGGGTGCTTTATCTCTCTCTCCCTCACTTTCTCTCTCACTTTGGCAAGCACATGGACCGTCTTACAAAATTTAAATGAAAAACAATTATATATATGGATATATATCTATATACACACACACACACACATAAATAGCACCAATCTATATCAAATTTTACATGTATAGTTTTTATATATAATATTTATAAATCTATACATATAAATGTCTATTTATAATATATAAATATATTTGTACTATAACATGATTTATAGTATATTTGTATAAGACTTAGAGTATATGAATATTCTATATATACATATATGTATATATAAATATAAATGTATTTAAACACTCTAAATCTTATATTTATAACATTTGATATTACTAGCCTCATAGCCTACTGGTTAAGGGTGCCAGATTTCACAGACTGACTTCATTTCGAATTCCAGCCCTGGTGGCTTGAAAAACACTTTGGGTACCATGTGCTTCTATCTACAATCCTGATAGGATGGAGAAATGGAGAAGGGATTGCAGCATGACCACGCCCCGTTAGAGAGTGCGCTTGCTTATTCGCTCTTGCGCGCGCGCTCTCTCTCTCTCTCTCTCTCTCTCTCTTTTTCTCTGTCTCTCTCTGGTGAGTACATGCACTCTCTGGCAACTAAAATTTTAATAGTGTAAAGGCATTTCTACGATCAGTTCCTCTGTACATGTTCATCTACCCAATCAAAGATGAATGAATTTGCCTAACATGTTGGTCTTTTGTCTTGTTCTGGCACTTTTTCCATGCCATACCTAAAGTGGCAGCACTCAGGGCCCAGGTAGTTGAAAAGAATGCAGGATTTCCAGGTGCATGATTATTATTATACTGGCTAGCAGTTTTTCACTTGTGAAGATCTAGAGAGATTCGTCTTTTTTGTCGGTAGCGAGTATGATACTAGTTACTATAGTAACAGAGAACACCATTCTTTGGCCCATACAGTATATTCAGCAAAAGAAAAGCAAATCAATGTTGGAGCCATTATGCTGGCTTAAAACATGAAAAGATGACTGTATTTTAATTGAGAAAGCATTGTTGGCAAGTGGGTCAGACAGTAGGCTAGTGACTAAAAAGGGGCACGTTGTGCTGCCTCTAGCCAGATCCACATCTCTCAAGAGTCTCTCGGAGTGCTCTCTCTCCAGCCTCACATCCTATACTGGTACCCAGTCTCTGTATGCAGCTGTGGCGTCGCACCTGCTGCATGCCCGGCACTGGCTCGTACTGTGGAGGACATGAGCAGCAAGGTGGGCCTGGCCCCCGTCCTCACGGAGCCTGTGCTGTCTCAGCCAGGGACGAGGGCTGAAGGAAGTCTTGGCCTAAAATGATGGGCCAGGAAAGGCTTTTCTTAGAATTTGGCAGTTGAAGTAAAGACTGAAAGCATGAGAAATCTGCAGGTGAAGAGGAGCAGAAGTGGAGCAGGCACCCCTTTCAGGCAGAGTAAAAGCATATGCAAGAATATATAAGTACATGGAATATATATCTATAGTATGTTTATATATATATATAATGTATATACTTATGTGTGTATATATGTGCATGTACCCTGGGGTGAGTTCATGCTCCTTTTTTAGAACTTGGAAGAAGCCTGTATGGCCAAAGCCCTTTTGAGAGAGACGGGGACTGACATTGTGACAGGATGAAAAAGCCAGGGGAGGGGGGCAGCTGGGGTTGGAACACACAATGCCTCAAAGGGCCATGTAAAGTTTCAGAAGGTTTTACGAAGAGGCATGACATCAAATACGCATCTTTAAACAGTCATTTGGGCTGCTCAGTGGACAATGGATTCACAGGGTTGGGAAACAAGATAGTGTGGGGGGAAATTTGTGTGAGGTTGTTGCAGGCAAGAGAGCTTGATGACTTAGACTGGGATAGTGACCCTGGAAGGAGAGAGAATGGATCCACTGAGACAGACAGTAGGGCCTGCACTGGCGGATCTGGGCGACAGGTTAGAGGAGAGGGATTTCGAGGGATGCCTTGCAGGTAGCTAGCACGAAGATCCGGGTGGATCATATGTTGTTTCCTGAGAAAAGGCACTCCGGAGGGGAAACAAGGCTGACTGTAGATGCAAGACACAAGTTCGCATTTGGACCCATTGCTCTTGAGGTGCTTGTAAAGGATTCTCGTGGAGAAATCCAGGAGGCGCGTGGATAGATGTACCAGTCTCTGAAGAGATGGCTGGGCTAGAGAGATGCATGCAGAGTGACACCTTGGGATACACAAGACCTCAGGGAGTGCCTAGCCAAGGATCACAGCATTCAGCCAGAGGTGCCCCACAGTTGTTCCCGTCCCTGCCTTCTCCCCCGCCTTCTGTCACCATCTTCCACTGGGCTATAAACAATCTAACTGGGAGAAATGAGGAGATACACGACTGCATGGGCCGAGGGCAGAAAAGTCAGCTGTCAGAAAAGGAAGCCCACCCCTTCTCTGGCTTGTCCATAACAGCACCAGCAAGCACAGTGTCTTATGTTACTTTATTATAAATACAAGTGGAGTCAAAATAAACCATCATTCCTCATTCCTGATGTTCTGTGGTTGTGTACACATGCTCACCCTGCCTGTGAATAGCAGGCAAGGAGGAGCACTGGGATTCTTGTCTTACATCGTCATCGTCATCGTCATCCATCTGGGTATCAGCCACTGTCCGGGGCTTCAGCCTCCCAAGCCAGGGGCTTCTGTGCACATCTGAGCATGCGCTTGCGTGTCTCCCGGGATCTCCCAGCGTCTCATCCTGGCTCTCCTTCTTACCCACAGGAAGCCCTAGAATCCTGCCAGACTCGCATTTCTAAGCTGGAGCTCCACCAGCAAGAGCAGCAAGCTCTGCAGACGGACACGGTGAATGCCAAAGTGCTGCTGGGCAAGTGCATCAACGTGATCCTGGCCTTCATGACCGTCATCTTGGTGTGCGTGTCTACCATCGCCAAGTTCGTCTCGCCCATGATGAAGAGCCGCTTTCACATCCTGGGCACCTTCTTCGCCGTGACTCTTCTTGCCATATTTTGTAAAAACTGGGACCATATTTTGTGTGCCATAGAGAGAATAATAATACCAAGATGAAGCCACGGGTTCCTGCCTTCGAGTTCTTTCAAGTTATTATTTTAAAGAAAACTCTGTGCATACTACCAAATTTGATAAGGAATGGTTGGGCCGGCTGCAGATGACAAAGACTGGGGCCGCGCGGTGTAAATAACTGCAGTTCTTTCAGCATCGTAGCAGTTGCCAGCGAGGTCCCAGGGTTGGTGACCGTGAGTCTGTTTCAGAGCTCTCCCCACACTGCTCACTGCCTTAACCAGCCTAGCTCTCCTACCCACCTGACGAGCCCAGCATGGTCAACCACTCTTTATTGAGCACTTGGCCGAATTAGTGACCCAGAAGAAAAGAGGGTTCTCTCACATCTCTGTCATAATTGAGATTTTCTGTTGTTAGTGATCATGTTTTCCCGAGTCCTGTAACCCGCAAGGATGAGGCATGATTTGGGGGAGCGAGGAAAGGCACTGACAGTGTTGAGCACACAGTAAAGGCTGTGTGGTCCTTCCCGCTGGCCCGCAGAGGGCTGTAGGTTCCATTGGGTACACAGTGTCTGCAGTGGTCTCTGCGTGTGACCCGGAAATGTGAAGTCTTGTAATGCACCTGTTTGTCCACCAGAAGTCTACCTTACGTGGTAAGACCAAGGAGTTCTGGGTGGGGCTTTCCCCCTCTTACGCCCAGGTAACCACACCTGATTTCCTCTTAACTAGCTAGCAAATGCCCTCCCTTTAGAGCACACAGAAATGCTCCCAACCCCTCATCAGACTGTAGCTTTAACATTTATGGGGTCTTAGGAATACCACGTTGGAGGTTTGTGTTTTGATTCTTCTTAATTTTGATAAACCCCGTTTGAGGATATGACTCACTGTACGTGATTCACTTTCTTCACAGGTCTGTGAGGGGTTGCAAAGCTCACCTGAGGAGGGCAAACGTGATGTTCCTGTGGCAGGGTGTTTTCCTTGAAGGGCAACAGAGTCATAGTTTATACAGCTAGAGGGCACTGAGACAGGACCCCTGGGAACATGAGGGAAATAGGACATTTGGCCGAATGGGAAGGTGGCTAGATTAGTGAGAGCAGTTCACCTGGATGAAGATTGATGGAGAGGGTCCTCTTGAGGACGTGACAGGCCAGCAAGGCTGAAATGAATTAAGTTCAGCCAAGATTACCCTCTGTCTCTTAGGACTGGACTGAAAATAAATTCCAAGGTACTAGGATGGGCCACACTGCCACCAGGTGAGAACATCCCAAAGCTAGCATGCCTGTTAAGGGGATTCCATTCCCTCACTTCAGCCCAGGTTTTACTTTCCTTTACATCCATTTCTTTGTGCTCCTAACAAAAAGGAAGATTTAGAAGATTTTAATGGAAACTGCTGTTGGGTCCCTCCCCCATCACTCCTGCTGTTTGCTGAAGGCTTTATGTCAAGACGCATGTTAGTGTACATTTATTTTTTTCCAGAACACACTGAAATCTGGATTTGAATTAAGTGCAATATTTTGCAAACAGCTATTCTTAGGGAAATCTTCTGGGGGAAAAAAAAAGTGACAGTGTGCACCATAGTTTGAAAGAATGGAGTAGCTAAGTAGAAGTCCGCCATATCGTGTGAGACTCATGCAGCTCAGGCTTGCTTGCTTCTTTTTTAAGTGAACAACTGAGGGGTTTTAGTAAATTTCACACACTTGTTCAGCCATCACCATTATCTAATTCCAGACCCAAGCTTTTCAAAACAATAAACATCATTGCATAAAATCTTCGGTTATGAAGTATTTTGGATTCAGGAAAGAGGGGCTTACTAGTCCCACCCCTGTCTCATGGTCACGGTCTTTCATTGTCAGGCTCCTCCTGGTCTCTCAGGTTGATATGTTTACACTGTGACACTGTGACCCATCCAATCCAGGGACAGATGGGGCTCCAGGGCATGGAGGGAAAACAATGGTGGTTCTTCCCTTTGTGATTTTATTTTAATGGCCAGCACTGGGTGTCAGATTCCACATGCATGGTGGGTATACCTTATACCCTGAATCAAGCTGGATCCTGAAGTGGGCTTCTCTTTCCATCTGTGAATCTTTCCCAGGGGCACTTTGGACACACCAGAGGTTAGGATAGGTGTAGATGCCACTGTTAGTTTATAGATGATGAGTGAGATTTCTGCCCTTGAGGTGGGTTCAGGGAGGTTCCAAGAAGACCTGAGCCTCATCTTACATCACCATACACCATTCCCCACCACACACCACTCCCCCACTCAGCCTAGCAAGTTTGGTTTGATTGATTCTACTTAGACCTGTGATCAGGATATCTTCCAGTGAGAGAGGTAGAAAAGAAAATGGAAAGCATTACACTCTACTCCCTCTTGTCCAATGACAGAACTTGCTAGAAACTGGCTCCGTTATAAAATACCATAGGGTAGAAGTCATCCACCCGATCATGAATTCCTTTTAAATAATTCATATGTCTGGTGACTCCCAGTAGATGTCAATTAACCTTGTTTTCACTTGAGTATGCTCAACCAACATGGTATATTTACTTTAGAGTCTTGTTGAAAGTTCATGAAGCTTTTTTAATATGATAGACTCCTAGGAGACTTTTACTCTAGCTTATTATTCTCTTCTTAAGGAATAAACTATTCCATTGCTTGTTCTTTTCAATGCATAATGAGATTAAATGAAATTTTATAAATATGCAATTAAAAATAGTGAAAGAGCTATGTCATATCCTGGAACTGAATCTTTAGTTTATATTTAAGTCAACTAATCCTTTTCCCGTGCCTTTACTTTGCAGTAAACATCTTGTGCATCCCAAAAGATGCAATCCAGTTGTTGGGTGGATAAACACCTGGTCACTCAGTGAATGTGACTGAGTGATTTAAGATGCTGGACTTTGGATTCTAGCACTGGATTTTTTGCAACATACTAACTTTATGATCTTTAGGATGATAATTTGAGGACAATATAAAAAATTTAAAATGCTCTTCTGCAGAGTTTGAAATGGTTATTTCAGCTTCTATTTTGAGTATGATTAAGCCAGGAAAAGAACTTCCTTTCATCCCCACCCCCAAAATTCATCATGCCCACAAAAAAGCAAAAGCTCAAAGCACTCCAAAGTGCTCTTACCTCTGACTTTGGATAGTGAAAACAGGACAGCCCACGTATCAAACATGTAGCCTTCAAGATCCCTCTGACCTACTGATAGGCAGAAATCTGAAACCTCACTTTCCATTTCAGCTGGTGATGTTGCCAGCCCTCTTTGTCACTCAGCATTCATGTGACGCAAGCCCTTCTCTTGCTTTGTCACTCCAGTTTTCATTTCAGAATTACTATGTGTGTTTATTGCCATCCCATTTCTCTGTCATATCAGGTTTAATTATGGGTTCAATATTAGAGAACTAGCTTCCCTCAGGCAACTGATTATTTTTGTCTTTTCTGGTTGGATTTTAAATACCAAATCATTTTGCAATGAATAGGAACATTTTTTACTTGTATAACCAAATGTAATTGTATTGGTTTGAAAAAACTTTTAAAAACTTATTAATATGAACATTTGTGATTAAACAATGTATTTTCCATGTTTCTGTCATTTTGAAGGGTGGGCCAGCAATAGGAAGAAATGGCATTATTTAAAATGCAGAGCTTGGGACCATCAGGTGATGTGGTTATAGTGCTAGACTCTCATGGCTGACTAGACCTGGCAGCTTGAAAATCACTCCAGGCATGTGTACATGCATGCCCAAAATTCCAAGAGGAGAATGGAAGAGAAGGGATTGTGGTGTGGCCATCCCCACTGGGAGGTGATTTCACACTTTCTCTTTCACAGTCTTTCTCTCTGGCTAGCGTATGCACCCTCTGGCAAAAACTTAAATAAATAAATAAATAAATAGATAAAACTTCGCGGTTTATCTAGAGAGAGATATTTCCAGGAGCTTAGAACTTGCAATAAAGAAAGAGTTGCTCTAAAAAGATAAATCACTAAAAAGAGTGAGATTGGCTTTTTTACATCAAAAGTAGGTAAGATGCTAAAAAATAAAAAAAGTACTATTAACAGAAGTTTAGTAACCCACAAGATAGAAAACAGAACTAACTTATTTTCTAAAGTCAGTACAATTCTGTTTGTGAGACACTGGAAAGTAATGTACCTTGATTGTTTTAGGAATGATTTATGTGTTGTGATTTTAATTTATTTATAGCATGTCGGCTGTGTTTGTCCTAAGAGACATGTTTCAACAAAACGTACTCTGTTTAAGATATGTTTCGGCAGTAGTTAGCAGCTCTGGAAGTAGAAACCGGAAATGTGTATCATGCGGTCTGTTGCAGAATTTCCATTTGGTGGGGTACTACATTGTCTCATGTCAGCCTCCAATTGTAAATTCTCTGTAGATCTTCACCCTCTGGTGGTGTCGTCAATGAATTCAAAGCGGGTGCCATTATTTTTTTAAATAAACACTTGATGTTAGCTTTGGTGTTCAAATAAAGTTAGATTTCTTAAATTTTCACATTCGTCAGAGTCCATCTCAGTAGCAGATGCCTGTGCGTGGAATCCACTATTTTAATTGACTTTAATTTTTAAGGCAGTTTTAGATTTGCAGCAAAATTGAGCAGAAGGTACAATGATGTCCTGTACCCCCTCCCCCCACACACTTGCATAGTCCCCTCATTGTCCCCACCCTTTCCTAGAATGATGCATTTGCTATAATTGAGCCTACATTGGGATCCTCATCACCCAAGTCCATAGTTTACATGAGAGTTCACTCTTGGTGTGGTATATTCTGTGGGTTTGGATGAACATGTAATGGCAACCATCTGCCATCATAGTGTCACAGAGCGTAGTTTTACTGCCCTAAAAATGGCCTGTGCTGCATCTGTTTGTATCTCCCAACCCCCTGTAATCAATTTTTTTTTTTGAGAGAGAGAGAGAGCTTTGCTAATAGGGCACATGAGCTCACCCAAGAGACAGAAAAACAGAGAGTGAGAAATCACCCTCCAGGGGGATGACCATGGCACAATCCCTTCTCCTCCAGTCTCCTCTTCGGATTTTGGGTGCACACACACACACACGTTCTCAGTGTGTTTTAAGCCACCAGGTCCTGGGACTTGAACTGCAGTTGACTGCATGGGAGTCCAGCAACTTAACTGTTACATCTGCTCGTCCCATAATCAGTTTTTATTTCAAGTCTTCTATTGCATAGGAAGTTGATGATGTGCAGTCCACCCTTTGAGCCCTAGTGGGAGGGAGAAGGGTGGTTCATTTAGCCCGTCCCTGGAATACTAGGAAATGTGTCCTCGTGTGGTGAAAGGGAAAGTGACAGTAAGGACAGGCAGAGCCTTCGTGAGCTGGAATGAGAAGGACAAGAACAAGGGCCAGGAGGCCAGCTGGTGGTATGCTGGTGAAGCCGACTGGATCCCACATGGCTGAGTACACAGTTAGGATCCAGATCTGGCAGCTTGAAAATGATGTTGGTGTGTTTGTAAGCATGCCCAAAATCTTAAGAAAAAATGGAGGGGATAGGATGGCTATATGTTCATCCCCCTGGGGGTACTTTCTTACTTTCTTTCTCCCTCTCAGCAAGCACAAAAGCTCTTTAGCAAATTAAAAAGAAAAGAGGAAGAAGAACAAGGCCAGTTTCCATTCAATGTGCCCATAGTTGGGTGATAAGGGTGAGACTTCTTGACCTGAGCAGTCACCCTAGTCTCTCTCGTCTCTGTGGTGCTTTGGTGTTTACAAAGCACAGTATTTTCTTTTATTATTTTTTTTAGTTTTTTGACATAGAGCATGTGTGCTCACTGGGGCGAGCGCGAAAGTGAGAAATCACCCCCCCAGGAGGGATGACCACCCTGCAATCTCTTCTCCATTCTCCTCCTGACATTTTGGGTATGTACACACATGCACCCAGCATGATTTTCAAGCCACTGGGTCCTGGACTCAAACTACAGTGGGCCATGTGTGAATCCAGCGCCTTAACCTCCATGCCCCCTGCTGGCCCACAAAGCACGTTATTGTCATAGTGTGGGAACGTGGTGGTTCAGTGATGGATGCAGGTGCCATTGTCCCTGTTAGGAGGATAAAAGTGGAGCTTGGACCTATGAGGTTTTCCTAAGGTCATGGCTAGGAGGGACTCAGGACTTCCTTGTCTGCCCGTCTTTCTGCCTTTTTAGCCCTCAAATTCAAGCCTGAGCAGTTCTCTCCATTAGCCATCTAGCACCCATCCTGTACAAACAGGGTAACCGGAACAGTCGAGTAAGGAAGATTCTTCACTGTATCAGCCCCATCCCCTGTCCTGGGAAACAGAGCATACCTTGGTCCTTGGAAATCTTGTGGGACATCATGGTTATTTTGCACACTGTATCATTTTATTTCTTAAAATGTAAATATAGAAAATGGAAGTGATTTGGTTAGGTGTCCAGCCCAGAATTTTCCCCGTGTTGCTTAGGGGAAAACACCTTAACAAGTCTATGGTTTCTCTGACAAAAGAAATGAAATACAAGTTATATTAATTAGGTTCTAGCAAATAATGAAAGATATTGGGACCAGCAGATGGTGTAATGGTTATGTTGCTGGACTCTCACAGAGTTGACTGCAGTTCGAGTTCTGACCCAGTGGCTTAAAACTCCCACTGGGCATGTGTGTGTGCATAACCAAAATCCCTAGAGGAGAATGGAGAAGGGATTGTGGTGTGGCCATTCCCTCTTGGGGGTGATTTCTTGCTTTCTGTCCCTCTACCTCTCTCTGTGTCTCTGGCAAGTGCACATGCCTTATAGCAAAAATCTCTCTCTTAAAAAAAAAATAAAAAAAGAAAGATATTGTCATAGAATAAAGCAGTACTTCTGCTGTTGAGCCGTGCATGGATTCCTGATATTAAATATTATTTTGGTCATTGGTGAATGTTCATAGTCACAAGTCGACAAAGTAACCTAATATACACACACACACATATATAAACACATACATACATATACACCGTATCTGCAGCCCCAAATACAGTTACTTTCTAGTAGGTTTGACTGTGAGCTGGTGACATGTTTGGGACACATAGGACCATGGGAACACCATACACTATCAAATCTGGGCACACGTTTGGGATGACCCCTAACACTCTTTGAGCATTTCATGTAGGCGGTGTGCTGTATCAAGTGCTTTACCTGCAGTATCGAGTGTAATCATGCCAGCACCCAGTGTGACAGGCAATAGCATTCCAGATGAGGAAAGTGAGGCACAGAGAGGTTAAGTAACTAACACTGTCATGCAGTGGGTAATGGTGGAGCTGTTTGTTCAGTCCCAAGCTTGTGTGACTCTGGAGACTACACTGGTAGCCACTACCCTGCCCTGAATTGGAAGAAATTTGAGCAGCTGGCTCCCTGTAGCTCAGTAACTCCCTCCCCTGCAAAGCAGATACTTCTCTTGGAACCCTAGAAGGGATCACGTTCGGTCCTTGAACTAGAGCAGCCAGTACTGTGGTTACGGTGTACGGTTCCACCTTTGCACTAGGGCCATACTTTGCGAAGTTACCTGATGCCAACGTCCTAGACCTTTGAAGAGCCATGGACTGACAGATTTGCGGATGGAGATAATGGAAAGCTATTAATTAAGGCCACTTTCCCCCTGTCCCTGGCTTTCTGAGATTCTTGGAGTATGTAGTTGGCAGTTGGCTTGGTGGAGTATTTCTCAGCGTTTTGCTTAGCTCTGAGGCGGTGTCATCTCTGGTGAGCTGCTGCTCTGAGCTCCATGACATCTGCTACCATCTGTGGTGGCTACCTCTGGAATTTTTTTCCTTGCTAAGCCAGCCAGAATTTCTCCCCTGCCAGGCCTTTCACTTGGCTAAGGCAGTTAACAGGAACAAGCATCAGCCATGTTAACAGCTGTTTTGCTGATGGTAACTCTACCCTGGCCTAGCAATTGGGAATTGGATTTTCTTTCTTTTTTTTTTTTTTTTTTCCTTTTCTGCTTAAAAACAAGCTACTAAGCAGTAGAAAGAGGAGAGCCATGCCTTGTTCTGGATTAGCAGTCAGGGACTTTCTTTGCTAGGGTTAGGCTCAGAGGCCTGGATTCTTCTCTGGTTCTTAGACTGGCATCATCTGAGCAATGGTGCTAACCCAGCCTTTTGCTGGCTGTTTCCTCCCCACTGTGGTTTGTTATGTTTTCTTATTTTTTAGGTTTTTTCCATAGGGCGCATGTCCCCACAGTGGTTTTTGTCTTCTCTTCCCTCATTTTATTTCACTTGTGGTTTGAAGCCCAAGCCCTGATGCTCATAGAATAGTGTAAGTAAAGGGACCAGCAGTTAGCGTAAATGTCGCTGGACTCCCACATAGTCGACCGCGGTTTGCGTCCCGGACCCGGTGGCTTAAAACTCACGCCAGGCACGAGTGTGTGCGTGCCCAAGATCCCGAGAGGAGAATGGAGGAGAAGGGATTGCAGCGTGACCATCCCCCCTGGGGGGTGATTTCTCGCTTTCTGTCTCTCTGTCTCTCTCTGTCTGTCTGGCGAGTGCACGCACCCTATATCAAAAACCTCTACCAAAGGAAAAATAAAGAAAAAGAAAATAGTGTAAGTAAAGTAACATCTCAGACTTAAGCCCTGGATTGAGCCAGTGGCTTGAGCCAGTCGAATTCAAACATAGGCCTGGATCCACAGAGGTGGCCTTCCCCAGCACCGTGGTCAGAATTGTTCCCACTTTGCATCAGTTTTCTCTTGTCACCCAGAAACAATCGCTCAAGGAAGTCAATA